TATTGACTCGTTGGACTGATGCTCAAAGTCTGAACAAAGTCTGTCATTTATATTTCTTCCCTACTAATGACTTGGTCTAGAATTTCTTTTCTAAATAAAGGACCTAAATAAAAACAAATCCGCTTGAAAAAGTTTCTGATAGTAAAGTGTTAAAAACTACATAGGAACTTACTGGGTAAACTATATTATAGAGTAAACTATACATTTAAAAGTATATTGAAATCTACACTAAAAACTACATTGAAACTAAAGTGGATACTACATTTAAATCTACATTGAAAACTACTCCGAGAACTACATTGAAATCTACATTGAAAACAAGATTGAAATCTACATTGAAAACTACATTGCAAACTACATAGAGAACTTCACTGAAAACTTCATTAAAAACTACATGGAAAAACTAGATTGAAAACTACACAGGAACTTACATTTTGAGCTGGGATGCACATTTTCTGTGAAAGCTGCATTTAAAATTAAATTGAAACTAGAATGTAGAATACATTGTAATTAGGCCAGGCCCTATATGGCTTACTAAAACAGCGGTCGCCAACATTTTTGACTGTAAACTACCTGCTCTATGGGGGCCATATCGTATATCTTGGGGATCATAAAAGCTTTGAAAAGGGGCGTTTAAAAACAAATGTCTACCTGAGAAGGGTGCCAAGCTGGCATATAGAAAGTCAAAGTGCATGGACCCCGGGCAGAAAAGGTTGAGAAACACAATGAACTAGATTGTAAAGTGCGCTGTAAAGCAGAGTGTAAAATAATCGTCAAGTACATAGTAGAGTACATTGTAAAGTACATTGTAAAGTAAATTGTAAAGTACATCGTAAATTACATTTTAAAGTACACTGCAAAGTACATTCTAAAATACTCTGTAGAGTACATTGTAAAGTACTTAGTAAAGGAAATTGTAAAGTGCATAGAAAAGTACATTGTAAAGTACTTTAACCAATACGGGGATGAAAAATCTGGCTAACTCCAAGCGAACTGTTTTAGTAACCATTTCGTTTCCCCATTTTCCTTGGTTTTTAACGTAACTCTGTTACTTATCACGTGAAATGGTTTGTTTCTATGTCTCAGACTATTCCTTTACTTCACAATACTTTACATATCACGTGATATGGTTTGTTTCTTATGTAACAGACTATTCCAGTTATTATTTTCATTTTTTAAACTAAATCTGAAGTGACAATTTGATTTCTTCCTTTAATATTGAGGTTAACATATATACATATTTACTTGGCTAGTATATGTTGAAAAAAACCCCAAGAAAATCTTTATATTATACATCTCTCATTAAATTACCTCGTGACATGTAAAAAGCCAAAATTACATAAAATATATAAATAACAAAGAATATAATAACACTATCATTTACTTAGATCATATTACCGTTGTACGGGTTGGAATAAAGAAGACCAGGTTGTGAAGTGACCTACTGTTCCGCCAATTACCTATTAATGACATTGTTGATTATCTTTGCAGGTTTAACCGAAGTCATTCCACTGTCACCAGCAGATCAACATCTAAACAACAACAACAACAACTACGCTTGCCATGGCAACCACATCAACATCAACCGCTTTCTTCACCAGCAGTACCACACCGACAGCCTCCATCAGCCCCAAGCTTACATCCCTCCCTCACTCGGCCACCACACCCTACGCCAACCCCACGCCGACCTGCCCTCCCACCATCACAGTGACATTTACCACCGCAGCCACGATGCCTACCAGCAGAACACCTGCAGGTCGGGGTCTGGCACCCCTCAGCACCCCAGCCAGCCACGGACGCCACCCCATTCGCACCACCAGATACCAGCATCTATATCACCACCATCACAACGTACGAGGACACCGTCCCCCACCCACCACCACAACCACTCGGACATGTCAGAATCCAACAGTGCAGACGACAGCAACGCTAAACTGATCAACGAATACAGGTGAGTAGACTGACCTGGTCTATTGAGTAGACTGACCTGGTCTATTGAGTAGACTGGCCTGGTCTATTGAGTAGACTGGCCTGGTCCATATTTAGCCAATTCTATAAAATAACAGTCCGATGTTTAGCCAATTCTATAATATAACAGTCCGATGTTTAGCCAGTTCTATAACATAACAGTCCGATGTTTATCCAGTTCTATAACATATATAACAGTCCGATGTTTAGCCAGTTCTATAACATAACAGTCCGATGTTTAGCCAGTTCTATAACAAAACAGTCCGATGTTTAGCCAGTTCTTTAACATAAGAATCCGATGTTTAGCCAATTCTATAACATAAAAGTTCGATGTTTAGCCAGTTCTATAACGTAACAGTCCGATGTTTAGCCAATTCTATAACATAAAAGTTCGATGTTTAGCCAGTTCTATAACATAACAGTCCGATGTTTAGCCAATTCTATAACATATATAACAGTCCGATGTTAAGCCAGTTCTATAACATAACAGTCCGATGTTTAGCCAGTTCTATAACATAACAGTCCGATGTTTAGCCAGTTCTATAACATAAAAGTCCGATGTTTAGCCAGTTCTATAACATAACAGTCCGATGTTTAGCCAATTCTATAACATATATAACAGTCCGATGTTAAGCCAGTTCTATAACATAACAGTCCGATGTTTAGCCAGTTCTATAACATAACAGTCCGATGTTTAGCCAGTTCTATAACATAACAGTCCTATGTTTATCCAGTTCTATAACATAACAGTCGGATGTTTAGCCAGTTCTATAACATAACAGTCCGATGTTTAGCCAGTTCTATAACATAACAGTCCGATGTTTAGCCAGTTCTATTACATATATAACAGTCCGATGTTAAGCCAGTTCTATAACATAACAGTCCGATGTTTAGCCAGTTCTCTACCATAACAGTCCGATGTTTAGCCAGTTCTATAACATATATAACAGTCCGATGTTTAGCCAGTTCTATAACATAACAGTCCGATGTTTAGCCAGTTCTATAACATATATAACAGTCCGATGTTTATCCAGTTCTATAACAAAACAGTCCGATGTTTAGCCAGTTCTATAACATATATAACAGTCCGATGTTTAGCCAGTTCTATAACATATATAACAGTCCGATGTTTAGCCAGTTCTATAACATATATAACAGTCCGATGTTTAGCCAGTTCTATAACATAACAATCCGATGTTTAGCCAGTTCTATAACATATATAACAGTCCGATGTTTAGCCAGTTCTATAACATATATAACAGTTCGATGTTTAGCCAGTTCTATAACATATATAACAGTCCGATGTTTAGCCAGTTCTATAACATAACAATCCGATGTTTAGCCAGTTCTATAACATATATAACAGTCCGATGTTTAGCCAGTTCTATAACAAAACAGTCCGATGTTTAGCCAGTTCTATAACATAACAGTCCGATGTTTAGCCAGTTCTATAACATAACAGTCCTATGTTTATCCAGTTCTATAACATAACAGTCGGATGTTTAGCCAGTTCTATAACATAACAGTCCGATGTTTATCCAGTTCTATAACATAACAGTCCGATGTTTAGCCAGTTCTATAACATATATATCAGTCCGATGTTTAGCCAGTTCTATAACAAAACTGTCCGATGTTTAGCCAGTTCTTAACATAAGAATCCGATGTTTAGCCAATTCTATAACATAAAAGTTCGATGTTTAGCCAGTTCTATAACGTAACAGTCCGATGTTAAGCCAGTTCTATAAAATAACAGTCCGATGTTAAGCCAGTTCTATAAAATAACTGTCCGATATTTAGCCAGTTTTATAAAATAACAGTCCGATGTTTAGCCAATTCTATAATATATTTTCTAAGCGACCAGATTGGGCTTACATGTCCTTTAAGAGGAAGTTATTTTTTAAGTTGCTTGGATGATTTCATTGAAGATGATATATTTGGCAAACACCATTTAGTGTTAGTGAAAACAAGTAATCAGTAATAAACATGTCTATAATGCTGTCAGTTAACAAAGAATGGCAGGCCAATTATCTCCTTATTATACTTGTGTCTCAGGTCTACTCAATTAATGAATTATTTTATTTTCATCTACTCTTCTGTGATATTTTTCTGCAACTTTGATGCTTATATACATACATATAATATATATATATATATATATATATATATATATATATATATTTATATATAATATATAAACACGCTGTCTGGGAAAAATGTATATAGAAATAAATTAATTAATAACTTTATGTTCTAAGATAAAGATATACAGTTCTCTATATATTTATATATATATATATAATATATATATATATATATATATATATATATATATATATATTTATATATAATATGTAAACACGCTGTCTGGGAAAAATGTATATAGAAATAAATTAATTAATAACTTTATGTTCTAAGATAAAGATATACAGTTCGCTATATATTTAAGTGTTTGAGAATATTTTATAATCATTTATATTTATACCTAACTAAGGAAATATTTATAAGTCTTTAAGGATTGCTTTGGTTTAGACTTTTACAAAAGAATGAACGTTTCAATCATGATTGATGCGATGATTGTCTTGTTCTGAGCCACAGGAACAGTTGAATCTATAATATCAGATATTACCAATGTAATGTAGGACAAGAAAAGTGAGGACATGCCATTTTTATAGGTAATATCTCACAACTCAAGATTATACTTAAGCGCCTTCTTGTGTGCATGTATGCAAGTATTCTAAAAAAAACTATCCTTAAGGCATTGTGCAAACATTGTAAAGTCTTTTGAATATAGTGACGATAATGTAAACCACAGAAAGCCGGGTCATTGCCTAACTATGTTATAAAATAAAATTGAAAAGTATGCTATAATGAAAACTTTACAAACAGAAATGCCTATTCAAACCATTCAGCAATGGTTAAAATGTTTCTATTCAATCTGACCCTCCAACCTCCTCCCCCGACTCAGTTCACATGGTGAGTACCCAGACACAGACACGGGAATGGATGACGACAGTTCGGGTAAACCAAGAAAAATTCGTAGAAGCAGGACCACCTTCACAACTTTCCAGGTAGGCAGACATCACGACGTTAGCTAGGAAAATATTGTGTAGGATGTCTTTACATTGTGCTATATCAAATTATCTACAATAATGTAAAGGATGTATTTACATTGTACTGTCTAAACTTATCTACGACAATAATGTGTATATTGGATGTTTCAAAATTGTGCTACCTAAAAGGCTAGAAATGGATAATTAGGTTACTAACTATTTTAATGGTTAAAAAAAAAAGTATAACTAAAAACTTGTCGTGTCAAAAATATTAAGAAATGAAAAACTATTTTATGTTGTATATTGGTTCAGTGGAGCGTGTGATAATGTCCCTGTGACATAGGTCTGTGGAGTGTGTGATAATGTCCATGTGACTTAATAGGTCTGTGGAGTATGGGATAATGTCCATGTGACATAATAAGTCTGTGGAGTGTGTGATAATGTCCATGTGACATAATAGGTCTGTGGAGTGTGTGATAATGTCCATGTGACATAATAGGTCTGTGGAGTATGTGATAATGTCCATGTGACATAATAGGTCTGTGGAGTGTGTGATAATGTCCATGTGACATAATAGGTCTGTGGAGTATGTGATAATGTCCATGTGACATAATAGGTCTGTGGAGTATGTGATAATGTCCATGTGACATAATAGGTCTGTGGAGTATGTGATAATGTCCATGTGACAGAATATTTCTGTGGAGTATGTGATAATGTCCATGTGACATAATAGGTCTGTGGAGTATGTGATAATGTCCATGTGACATAATAGGTCTGTGGAGTATGTGATAATGTCCATGTGACATAATAGGTCTGTGGAATATGTGATAATTCCCTGTGACATAGGTCTGTGGAGTATGTGATAATTTCCCTGTGACATAGTTCTGTGGAGTATGTGATAATGTCCCTGTGACATAGTTCTGTGGAGTGTGTGATAATGTCCCTGTGATATAGGTCTGTGGAGTGTGTGATAATGTCCCTGTGACATAGGTCTGTAGAGTATGTGATAATGTCCCTGTGACATAGGTCTGTGGAGTATGTGATAATGTCTCTTTGACATAGTTCTGTGGAGTATGTGATAATGTCCCTGTGACATAGGTCTGTGGAGAATGTGATAATGCCCCTGTGACATAGGTCTGTGAAGTATGTGATAACGTCCCTTTGACGTAGGTCTATGGAGTATGTGGTAACGTCCCTGTGACGTAGGTCTATGGAGTATTTGATAATGTCCCTGTGACGTATAATAGGTCAATGGAGTATGTGATAATGTCCCTGTGACACAATTACGTGGAGTATGTGATACAATGCAATAATGCCATACAAGTCACACAAAAATAACCTTAACACGCAGTCTACAAAATGACATATGACATTCTATTGCCTGAAAAATGTAAACGCTGTTTTGTGAACCTAGTGTTAGATGTTTTCTAAATCGATTGAACTCAACAGCTCCACAGATTAGAAAGAGCATTTGAAAAAACTCAGTACCCGGATGTGTTCACAAGAGAGGAGTTGGCCATGACCTTGGATCTTAGTGAGGCCAGAGTTCAGGTAAGATGCAAGTTTCCAATATTCAAATATAAAAAAAATATCACGTGAAATAAATCTGTTATAATTTTTATAACACCGTGAAAAGCGTCTATGATTTTTTAAATTACAAAAATCTCGCGTATCTTGATGCCAGGGGCAAAATAAAGTCTCATATAACTGAGACAATGAAGTACTTAAATAAAGTCTCATATAACTGAGACAATGAAGTACTTAAATAAAGTCTCATATAACTGAGACAATGAAGTACTTAAATAAAGTCTCATATAACTGAGACAATGAAGTACTTAAATAAAGTCTCATATAACTGAGACAATGAAGTACTTAAATAAAGTCTCATATAACTGAGACAATGAAGTACTTAAAATAAAGTCTCATATAACTGAGACAACGAAGTACTTAAATAAAGTCTCATGTAATTTTGAGACAATGAAGTACTAAAATAAAGTCTCATGTAATTTTGAGACAATGAAGTACTAAAATAGATTCTCATGTAACTGAGACTATGAAGTATTAAATAAAGTCTAATAATTGAGACAATGACGTACTAAAATAAAAGTCTCATATAACTTTGAGACCACGAAGTACTAAAATAAAGTCTCATATAACTTTGAGACCATGGAGTACTAGAATAAAGTCTCATGTAACTTTGAGGCAATGAAGTACTAAAATCAAGTCTATGATAACTCAGACAATGACGTGCTAAAATAAAGTTTCATATAACTTTGAGACCATGAAGTACTAGAATATAGTCTCATGTAACTTTGAGACAATGAAGTACTAAAATAAATTCTCATGTAGCTGAGACCATGAAGTACTAATATAAATTCTCATGTCACTAAGACCATGAAGTACTAAAACAGTTTTTCCAGGTCTCATTATGACGTATTAATGTGTTAGCCCTCGTGATAATTAAGCCATGCAGCGCGGGCAAACAACGCGGTGGCCTCGTTGTGAGATGAGAATAAAAAAAAAAAAATAATTCATGAAAAGGTTTGGAGAGGTTGACCTAATTTACTTGCTTTTCTCTAGATCTTTGAGCATTACATGGGGACATTTGCGAGAAGAAACGATGCTTAATTGAAGAACCCACGAACATTTGACATGGTAATCTCCCTCTGATAAAAAACACTGATGCAAACACAGGACACAAGAGTTTGGTCTCATCCCCCTCGAGCCGCGAGCCGAGTTCCCACGTAATGGTCTGGTGTCACTGACAAAACTTTCCGTGACCGAATTGTATGCAAGCAATTTCCCAAACATTTAGCTTGGAGATTATTGCCTAAATTGAATGAACTCCTCTTTCAGTCAGTGGAGGCGAAAGAGGAGCGGCTCTCACAGGGTGCAAGCAGTAGGCCTCTCTGTGTTGTCCCCGTCTGATCCATCGCTTTGTGTACACATTTTCAAGACCGCGGGACCGCCTGAGATTTTTAGTGGGGGGGGGGGAAAGAAGAAACACCACAGGGCGCCTTCTTAGCCCACATCGGATAGAAAGGCGCCCCCCCCCACCTCCCATCACCCGGACCCCGAGTCTACTGTCAGGTTTACGGTCCGCTTAGCCGAGAACAATCCACGGCGATGGGTAATAGCTCGCGATGGTACTTAAACGTTTCTGGAGTCTGGTAAAGATGCAGCGTGACCCGGATGAATGGGTGACCTCACGGAGGGGCTCCTTTCAGTGACTGTTGGCACCTGGGCGCGCAAGCGCCGGTTAACTTAGCCGGCATGAATCGAGGCTGCCATGATCTGGCCTCGGGGGCCACAGAGCTGCCCAGTGTGAGGTCAGAGTCGGAACAGCGGGTTGGTAGGGGAGATCTCCAGCGCTAATTAAAGGTATCGCTGCCGAGGGTCCCCGACACTTGAGCCCGCCGTGGAGGGTGAGAGAGCCCCCTCCCCCCCCCAATACTACTCGTACACACACTTCTGGTGCACACCACACAAGGGCGCCAGGGACTCATCATGGGATGGGCGTGGCCATCGAGATTAGGAGTCCTTAAGTTTGAGACGAGAGGCGGAAATAGGCTAGGAAGAATGATCACGTGATGACCCACCGTTTTCGCTGTGTCAAAACTGGAAGAAAGACACCTTCTGCGTGAAGACACTGACTACATCGGTGACACTCTTGAATATTGGTAAAGTGCAGTGACTCCCATACTTTTACTAAAAGCTGTATGACATTGACATTTTTAAGAGCTAACAAGACGGTGATTAAAGAGAAATGTTGGTCTGGTTTGGGGGGGGGGGGGGGAAATTTGTTTTGAAAAATCCTTGTGGTGGTCAGTTAGTTAAAATACCTGGTTTCATTGAGTTGTCAGTAGGATGAGAAGCCATTGAAAGAAATAGATGCCAAAGTGTCCTCGTTTTATAGCCATTTTAATTGTTTCTATAGTATAGTAGTTACTATCCTAATGTCTTATTTTTATTGTAATTAGTTTACATGTTTTAATAATTGTAAAGTGCTTAGAGCTTTATGGTAAGCGCTATATAAAAATGCCTAAATAAATAAATATGCAGCCATTTATAGTAGCAGAGATGTGTAGCTACTGATTGTAGTGGAGATGTGTAGCTACTGATTGTAGTGGAGATGTGTAGCCATTTAATTTATAGAAGAAGAGATGTGTAGCTATTGATAGTAGCAGACGTGTGTAGAAGTACACACGTCCATCTATAATTTATTTACGTTAGTTGTATTTCAAATAATTAGGAACAAATTTGGCGGTAATTTGATGGGATGGTAATTTGATGGTAGGGTATGTCGAGTGGACGGTAATTTGATGGGAGTGTATGTCGAGTGGACGGTAATTTGATAGGAGGGTATGTCGATGGTACGGTAATTTGATGGGAGGGTATGTCGATGGGAGGGTAATTTGATGGTATAGGGTATATTGAAAGGACGGTAATTTGATGGTAGGGTATGTTGATAGAACGGTAATTTGATGGAATAGGGTATGTTGATAGGACGGTAATTTGATGGGGGTATGTTGATAAGATGGGAATTTGATGGGATGTTATGTTTATTGGTATACATTCATATATATATATATATATATATATATATATATATATATATATATATATATATATATTTTGTATGATATATATATATATATATATATATATATATATATGTTGCAGCTGATATAATCATGTCTGAGGTGGTGTTAAGGTTGATATGATTATGCCACATTAGCTGGTGTTAAAGTTGATGTGATTATGTCACATTATCTGGTGTTAAAGTTGATGTGATTATGTCACATTATCTGGTGTTAAAGTTAATGTTATTATGTCACATTATCTGGTGTTAAAGTTAATGCCATTATGTCACATTATATGGTGTTAAAGTCTACGTGATTATGTCACATTATATGGTGTTAAATTCATGTGCTTATGTCAATTAATCTGGTGCTAACGTTGATGCGCTTATGTCTCATTATCTGGTGTTAAAGTTGTTGTGATTATGTCACATTATCTGGTGTTAAAGTTGATGTGATTATGTCACATTATCTGGTGTTAAAGTTGATGTGATTATGTCACATTATGTGGTGTTTAAGTTGATGTGATTATGTCACAGTATGTGGTATTCAAGTTGATGTGATTATGTCACATTATATGGTGTTAAAGTTGATGTGATTATGTTATCCGATTTAAAGAAATAATTTTTAGAAGCCCTAGAAACGATTTCATCCTCTAGAAATAAGAATGTTGTTGTTTGAATCGTCGGCTGACATCAGTTCAGTTCCCGGGCAGGTGTTTCCTATTTTGACGGCATATCTACTCATAGCTGGGGACAGGCCCATCAATCTGGGTATTTACTTAGAGCTGGGGACAAGCCCATCATTCTGGGTATTTACTTAGAGCTGGGGACAGGCCCATCAATCTGGGTATTTACTTAGAGCTGGGGACAGGCCCATGAATCTGGGTATTTACTTAGCGCTGGGGACAGGCCCATCAATCTGGGTATTTACTTAGAGCTGGGGACAGGCCCATCAATCTGGGTATTTACTTAGAGCTGGGGACAAGAGGGAAAAAACAAAATTGAAAGTGTGTGGGGGTGGGTGGCGGGAGCAAGAACCGTGAAGATGAAAAATGTTACCAATCAGGTGGGAAATAGATGGCATTTTAGTTGGATGTTACCAATCAGGTGGGAAATAGATGGCATTTTAGTTGGATGTTAACAATCAGGTGGGAAATAAATGGCCGTATAGTTGGATGTTACGAATCAGGTGGGAAATAGATGGCATTTTAGTTGGATGTTACCAATCAGGTGGGAAATAGATGGCATTTTAGTTGGATGTTACCAATCAGGTGGGAAATAGATGGCATTTTAGTTGGATGTTACCAATCAGGTGGGAAATAAATGGAATTATAGTTGGATTTTACCAATCAGGTGGGAAATAGATGGCATTATAGTTGGATGTTTCCAATCAGGTAGGAAATAGATGACATTTTAGTTGGATGTTACCAATCAGGTGGGCAATAAATGGCCTTATAGTTGGATGTTACCAATCAGGTGGGAAATAGATGGCATTTTAGTTGGATGTTACCAATCAGGTAGGAAATAGATGGCATTTTAGTTGGATGTTACCAATCAGGTGGGAAATAGATAGCATTTTAGTTGGATGTTACCAATCAGGTGGGAAATAGATGACATTTTAGTTGGATGTTACCAATCAGGTGGGAAATAGATGGCATTTTAGTTGGATGTTACCAATCAGGTGGGAAATAGATGGCATTTTAGTTGGATGTTACCAATCAGGTGGGAAATAGATGACATTTTAGTTGGATGTTACCAATCAGGTGGGAAATAGATGACATTTTAGTTGGATGTTACCAATCAGATGGGAAATAGATGGCATTTTAGTTGGATGTTACCAATCAGGTGGGAAATAAATGGCATTATAGTTGGATGTTACCCATCAGGTGGGAAATAGAAGACATTTTAGTTGGATGTTACCAATCAGGTGGCAAGACAGACACGGAGTTTGAGCAGTTTAACAATAATAGTATGCGGAGATTTAGGGGAGAGCACTTTCTGCATGCTGTGCTTCTAATCAAGGGTTGATCCGATTAAGCTCCCCTTGTGTGAACATCAGCACGTGCCACGGGCAGACGAACTGTCAGGGGGTTTGGGTTACTAGGAAAACATGTTTGTGAAGGCTTAGCCCCGGACAGATTAGGGGAGAAGGGACCGCAGGGTCAGTCAGTGGGTATTTCTAAAATATCAAAATGTAATGGAAAACATTATGTTGTGTGTAAAAAAAAAAAAAAAAAAAAAAAAAAAAAATCTACTATAGCATTGTCCGTTGAAAAAAAATGATCATTTATAGCATGGTATGTAAATAATATTTTACTTGCAGAATATTGATTATCAAAGTAATAAATCAGTTACGTAGAGCTTTTTATTCACACTGTTAAAAATCGATCGTAAAGTTACAGCAATTTTTACACCAACATATTGTCAACTAACTGCCAGTAACTTATGTAATTACTGGCATCAAACGATAGCTCACCGTTAAAAAAAAATATCTTTTTTCAAATAAAGTAAGCCTTAACTTTAAATGCCGTTACAGGTTACCGTGATAAATATCATGTTGTGTGTCAAAGAAGTTTCAATGTTGGAAAACTACAAAAGTTGTGTTTTTTTGGTTTGAAGTCGGCCTTGGTTGTAACCATGTTATCTATAACGGTTTACAGACATGTTTCGGCAATAGCGGCACGTTGACCAAAGCCGTCCCCACTCATTTAATGCTTCTGGCCTACCCTTGATTTCAACAAATTAAAATTTTTTATACTCTTTAAACAAAAATCTTCCATTTAGAATCGGCGGTGTTACGTCTACGTATTGTTATGTTTCCCTGTGGAGCTGAAGTGCATGGTTGAATAGGTTTTCAATTTCCGATATAATTTTTTAAACTCCGGAATGCATAAGTGAAACTGATGCGGCACTTTGATGTGCTGCTTGAGTGAACCTGAAGGAGGACTTTGATGTGCCGTATGAGTGAACCTGAATGAGTACTTTGATGCACTGCTTGAGTGAACCTGAAGGAGGACTTTGATGTGCTGCTTGAGTGAACCTGAAGGAGTACTTTGATGTGCTGCTTGAGTGAACCTGAAGGAGGACTTTGATGTGCTGCTTGAGTGAACCTGAAGGAGGACTTTGATGTGCTGCTTGAGTGAACCTGAAGGAGGACTTTGATGTGCTGCATGAGTGAACCTGAAGGAGGATTTTGATGTGCTGCATGAGTGAACCTGAAGGAGGACTTTGATGTGCTGCATGAGTGAACCTAAAGAAGGACTTTGATGTGCTGCATGAGTGAACCTGAAGAAGGACTTGGATGTACTGCATGAGTGAGCCTGAAGGAGGACTTTGATGTACTACATGAGTGAACCTGAAGGAGGACTTTGATGTGCTGCATGAGTGAACCTGAAGGAGGACTTTGATGTGCTGCATGAGTGAACGTGAAGGAGGACGTTGATGTGCTGCTTCACTGAAACTGAAGTAGGACTTTGACATAACATTTAGCGGACATTCTCGCCACGTTAAACAGCCCAAACAACGCTTCACCTTGCACTCATTTGACTCAAAGAACACAGCCGTACACTCAGCGGACTGGTTTGTTAGAGAAGAGATTCATTTAACGTTGAGAACTTTACCACCATCTGATTGAAATAAACTTCATTGTTTTTCTTTGACTAGATATTTCTCTCCATTGTTATTTTCCATCCAATCAAAGCTTACTTCCTATTTTTTCTTGTTTTTGGTTTGTTTTTGTGCACATTGTCTCCCCCTATGAAGGAGAGTTTAGTATCTCCCTAGGAGTGCTTATAATCTCCCAATAACTGATTCCAAGAGCTGGACTATAGAGTTGCTTTTGTGTGTGTTATTCTGCATTTTAGCGTTGACGTTTCATTTTATTTGTACTTTTTTTTTACGCGCATTTGTGTGTGTGTGTCTGTGTGTGCCTGTGCGCGTGTGTGTGTGTACTTTGACCAGTGCTCACTTAGCCATGATCTTCATTTACGAAAACTTTCCGCAACGCTGCAAATCCTTAGTTAATGACAACGTTTTGGTGTGTCAAAGGCAACCTAAGTTGGGAATGCTCGAATTGAAAGTTCGAACTTGGCACATGTGTCCCCTGCTGTGTTACTGAACACAAATCTCAGATACATTCAAAGAAAAAAAAAAAAGAAAACAACTCTTCATTGTGAATGAGTTCAGAACTGAGTGTCCCCACCCCCTCACCCTCCCCCAAATCTCCAAAATAAAACACATCCTAGTGAGATTGGTGGGGGGACTGATTACGGAACCTGGTGATGATTCTGATGAAAGTCTAGAAAATTCGGACTCATCATGTCACACAAAGAGAACAATTTAAAAAAAAAAAAAAAAAAAAAAAAAAAAATAAAAAAAAGTAATTAAAAGACACCCGATTTTGGAAGCTGTGATTTCTTTTTAAAAAATATTGTTTTCCCTAGTAAATCCGTTTGCTTACAGCTTTGAAGAATGTAATCAACATCTAGCGTCTAGATGAGCTGCATCGTGTAAGCTGCAGCCTAGAGCTGAGTTAAGGAAGTAGTTTCTGACTCCTGGGAGAGAAATAGAACCAAGAATAGTTAATCGGTTTCTATCAGAACTTTATCTTTGAAGCAATATTTGTGTCTGTAGATATCAAACCCCATGGCCGATGTTATTTATGTAACGCACTTTATTTATGAGGTTGAAATAATCAAATGTAAAGTAGTATTGAAAATGCTTATATTTATTCCAAGATATACAAAATGGGGGATGAAAAATCTGTTAGCAGTACGAAAAGATATCTTGTGGTGGGATTTAAGAGAAAGCTTGTGTGGGATGGTGAGCTATCTGATGGTGAGATGGTGAGCGAGTTGGTGGTAGAATGTGAAACATCTGATGGTAGGATGGTGAAAGATCTGATGGGGAGATGGTGAAAGATCTGATGGTAGGAAGGCGAAAGATCTAATGGTAGGAGGGTGAGAGATCTGATGGTGAGGCGGTGAGATATCTGATGGTGAGATGCTGAGATATCTGATGGTAGAAAGGTGAGAGATCTGATGGTAGGAAGGTGAGGGATCTGATGGTGGGAAGGTGAGAGATCTGATGGTGAGGCGGTGAGATATCTGATGGTGAGATGCTGAGATATCTGATGATGAGATGCTGAGATATCTGATGGTTGGATGGTGAGAGATCTAATCGTGTGATGTGAGAATCTGACTGTAGAATTTGAGAACTCTGATGGGGGATGGTGATAGAGCGATGGGGTGATTTCTAACGGTGTGAGAACAGTGGGGTGGTGAGGGATCAGAGGCTGGGAGTGCTGGGGACCTGAAGTTTAATTTGACACTGTGTAGGGAAATCACTTGATCAATGAAAGACTCTTAGCTCGGATTAGGACATGGGAGATTAGAAACAGGGGAGGAAAATCGTTAAGGCTGGACCTTGTAAAGGGAGGAAATTAGGTTTTCATCTTACGAAGAAAAAGAAGACTAAAAAGAATACTGAGTTAGGGTAACGCTACGAGAGAAATTTTTTAAGTGAAATTTAGGATGGCGATAAAGTAGCATCTGGAATTAGAATGTTTACTACAGTGATGTTTAAGATTATACATGATTATAGGGGTGATGTATCTAAGATGGTACATGATTATAAGGGTGATGTATCTAAGATGGTACATGATTATAAGGGTGATGTATCTAAGATGGTACATGACTATAGGGATGATGTTTCTAGGATAGTACATGATTTTCGGGGTGGTGTTTCTAAGATGGTGCATGATTATTGGGCCGATGTCTCTCAGATGGTACATTACTGTAGGGTTGATGACAAAATACATAAGGGTTGTCACGGCCTCCCTAAATTTGGGGAATATTTAGTCAGCTCCTGTATTCAAAAACATATTACAAGTAATTTGAGCATTTCAAGAACCACCTCTTCATTTAAAATAACAGTATCTCATTATAAGTTCAATAATCTAATTATACATTACGTTATCTGATTATAATTACATTATCTGATTATAAATTACATTATCTGATTATAAATTACATTATCTGATTATAAATTACATTATCTGATTACAAATTACATTATCTGGTTACAAATTACATTATCTGGCTACAAATTACATTATCTGGTTACAAATTACATTATCTGGTTACAAATTACATTATCTGATTACAAATTACATTATCTGGTTACAAATTACATTATCTGGTTACAAATTACATTATCCGGTTACAAATTACATTATCTGGTTACAAATTACATTATCTGGTTACAAATTACATTATCTGGTTACAAATTACATTATCTGGTTACAAATTACATTATCTGGTTACAAATTACATTATCTGGTTACAAATTACATTATCTGGTTACAAATTACATTATCTGGTTACAAATTACATTATCTGGTTACAAATTACATTATCTGGTTACAAATTACATGATCGGATTTGAAGAAATTAAAAACATGCTTTTTAAAAAAAAAATTATACGATCAAAATGTATTTGTTGTATGAACTCCTTGTTTAACAACGAATAGCTGTCGCTGTTTATGGATGTCATTGTTTGTAGCTGTCATTGTTTGTAGCTGTCATTGTTTGTAGCTGTCATTGTTTGTAGCTGTCATTGTTTGTAGCTGTCATTGTTTGTAGCTGTCATTGTTTTTAGCTGTCATTGTTTGTAGCTGTCGCTGTTTATGGATGTCATTGTTTGTAGCTGTCATTATTTGTAGCTGTCACTTTTTATAGCTGTCACTGTTTGTATCTGTCACTGTTTATAGGTGTCACTGTAGCTGCTGCTTATGATAGCTGTCACTGTTTATTTATGGCTGTCATTGTTTGTAGCTGCCACTATTTAAGGCTGTCACTTTTTGTATCTGTCACTGTTTGTATCTGTCATTGTTTCTAGCTTTCATAGTTTGTATCTGTCACTGTTTGTATCTGTCAATGTTTGTATATGTCACTGTTTGTATCTGTCACTGTTTGTATCTGTCACTGTTTGTATCTGTCACTGTTTGTATCTGTCACTGTTTGTATCTGTCACTGTTTCTAGCTTTCATAGTTTATAGCTGTCACTGTTTTTAGCTGCTGTATATAGCTGTCACTGTTTATAGATGTAAGAAATTTTTAGTACAGTTTGTGAACTAAAAGAATGTTCATGTATTAATAAATGTGAAGCTACTAGCCTCCTGGTGCTACTATACTATGAGCCTACTTGTTCTAGAATCATATTAGTACCGGAGGGAGATTCTTAACTCACTCGTCGGCTGCTAAAAGTTATACATTAACTGACATTATTGATATTCCTGTTTGTAGTAAGCGGCTCTGTCATGTTCCTGCACCATAAATTAATTCGGAAATGTTGTTTTTTCCCCCCCCCCCAACTTAGGTTTGGTTTCAAAACAGACGTGCCAAATGGCGTAAGAGAGAGAAGGCGATGGGGCGCGACAGTCCGACATTTATGCCAGGGGAGCCGACTCCATCACTGAGCGAGATGATGAGCTTGGCTCGTCCATTCGGTCTCCCTTCGTCACTGGAGCCCTTCTGGGGCAGCAGATTTCCCAACCTGACCGGTGTCCACCCCATGATGGCCCTCTCACACCCTAGCCTGACCGTAGCCCAGGCAGCGGCCGCCTACAGCTCCAGGTAATTGATTTATTAACTAGGTCATTACTTCCTCTTGGTCATTTGCTGTACACAAATAGATTGATAAGGGATTTTTTTTAAACGAATGACCTTTCTAATCAATTGAAATAGGAAGGGTCTATACAAACTGGAGAGATACGAATAACGCAACTATATATTAGCAGATAGTAACATCCATAGGGGGAATCATCCAAGTGATGATAAGTTGTATCATCTATAACAAATTGTTTACATTGTTACTGTTATTGAGATGTTTTCAAATGTTACAAAATAATCTAATTTTTACGATTAATTGACTACATATTTAATTTAAATAGGATTGAGCTCTAATATTATGTTGATGATGAAACTTAAAGGCACTGACTGACCCAACATTTGCTAAACAGAATTATAGGAAATAAACAAGGAAATATCTCTTTTACAATTAACTTTAAAAATGAAGGGGGAAAATGTCAACTTTATCCTTTCCCCCCCCCCCCCGAAAAAAAAAAAGTTGAGTTGTCCCCCATATCGGGAAAATTCAGGCTTATTTGCTAAACAGAAATATAAGAAATAAACAAGGAAATATCTCTTTTACAATTAACCTTAAAAATGAAGGGGGAAAATGTCAACTTTTTCATTTCCCCCCCCCCCCGAAAAAAAAAAGTTGAGTTGTCCCCCATATCGGGAAAATTCAGGCTGACACTAAAATGACTTAACTCAATAATCCTGTAGACTTAAATGAATGCTAAACAAGCGTTTTGACCACTTCCAGGTCACCATTTGGGGGCTTAATCCACGGCTACATGTTACACACGTCCAACGGTCTAACCAACCCTGGCACCATGCCAACTGCTGTATCACTCATTCCTACTCTGCCAGGTGTTCCGAACTCGATGTCTCCTCGCTTGCCGAACTCCAACACTTCGTACGAGCCGGACATGCGCAGCAGCGGATGTGGAAGCACTACCATGGCCGCCACGACGTCTAGCGTGGAGTCGCTGCGGCTCAAGGCGAAGGAACACACAGCGGAGGCAGCGGCCGCCATGGCCGGACGTCAGTACCACGAGCCAAGCCCGAGTGTCAGCTTGTCGTCTTAGCAGCGCAGTCTTCAGTCATCATGGCAGTACAGACTTTCAGTCGTCTTAGCAGTACAGACTCTCTGTTCTCTTGGCAGTACAGACTTTCGGTCATCTTAGCAGTATAGACTTTCAGTTGTCTAAGCAGAACAGACCTCTTGGTCGTCTTTGCAGGACAGACTTTTGATCGTCTTAGCAGTAAAGGTTTCCAGAAATACGGAAAATCCCACAATTTACTCTGGTTAAGTTGCAACGTGTAAAAGCGGCTTAACCTTATAACACTACAACGTCTCACTCTGGTTTTAAGTCTATTTGAGTTGTGTAAGCCGGTTTATTAATGCAATCGATGGAGTCGGAGAAGGTGTTGCCTCCTCAGATTTTTGTTAAAATAAGACTTTTGAAGTTAATTTAAGTAATCTGTCACAGAATAACCTTCATTTGTGTACCGGATTCAGTGTGTATTTGAACCAAAACGTTTGGACCACGTGGTAATAGATCAAAATGACCTGATGTTGGCCTTGAGATCTGACCTTGGTGCATAGTACGATATATTGAGCAATATTAAATTCTAATTCACTTTAGCAGGCAATAATTTACAGAACAATGAGTTGATGATTAGTAAATGCAAGGTCAAGGGTCACGCCGTGTCCTGTGCTAACACAACGGCTGAAAAGGCCAAAAGTTGCGACGTGCAAGAGAGATGATTAAACTATTGACTTTAAATGTTTAGGGGGAGGGGCGGAGGTTTGCACAACTGTGAAGTGACAGGGTGGGGGTGGGGGGCTCCAAAAACTCAGGAGACGACTCTGTCAAGGATTGTGCAACAGAACGTAATGAAGATACACGTGCTGTTACCTTTCAAACTTGATGATACATAGGAAGACGAATGCAAGAAAAATGAAATGGGAACTGACGTACACTCACCACACTACATACACTCCTTACATACACTCCCAACACTTCATAGACTCATAACATACACTCATTACATACCCTCCCAACACTACATAGACTCATTACATACACTCATTACATACACTCATTACATACACTCATTTCATACACTCATTACATACATTCACTAGAAACACTCACTACACTACATACACTCCTTACATACACTCATTACATACACTCACAACACTACATACACTCATTACATACACTCACAAAACTACATACACTCATTACATACACTCACAACACTACATACACTCATTACATACATTTATTTCATACACTCACTACATACACTCACTACATACACTCTTTACATACACTCATTACATACACTCATTTCATACGCTCATTACATACAATCACTCATACACTCACTACATACACTCACTACATACACTCACTACATACACTCATTTCATACGCTCATTACATACAATCACTCATACACTCACTTCACTACATACAATCATAACATACACTCATTAGCTACACTCACTATATACACTCACCACATACATTCACTACACTACATATACACATTACATACACTATTACTCGTACTCACTACATAAACTCATTACATACATTAATTACATACACTCACTACGTATACTCATAACATACACTCACTAACACACATATTCTGGTGAGGGTCTGAGATTACTCTCTTATGACCCCGGCTAGTAAATTGGCTATCAACTCCATCTGTTGAGCTGAGCCATACAACATTTCCCTCACAAAGGATCTTCCAACCGCCCTGGAGATCTAGTGAGGGACATTCGGTCAACAGGTGCTCTAGAGTCTCCGGGACCAGGCTGCTCACTAAATTATACATAAACTCATTACATTCGATCACTACAACATACATAACTTTATTACATACACTCATTACACTACATACACTTATTACATAGACTTACACCATTATACATACACTCAATAAATTCACTCGCTACATTAATACATACACACGAGGCGAATGACTTGTTGATATACAAGAGACAAAACCCAATACTAGACTACGCTAACTTAGAAGACATCACTCTTATTGTAGGAAACAGATGCTCAAGATGTCACACACACACACACACACACACAACCCAATACTAGACTACGCTAACCTAGAAGACATCACTCTTATTGTAGGAAACAGATGCTCAAGATGTCACACACACACACACACACACACAACCCAATACTAGACTACGCTAACTTAGAAGACATCACTCTTATTGTAGGAAACAGATGCTCAAGATGTCACACACACACACACATACACACACACACCACAATACTAGACTACGCTAACTTAGAAGACATCACT